TCGCGAATGACAGTTCGATGGCCATCAGTCAGCCAGTGTTACCAACCTCCGATAAGTAAAAAAGGAGTGTCACAAAGAGCTTCTTTTCGAAAATACTTTTAGTGTCGAAAAGACTTTCGATATGACACCAAAATAGAAAAGATTATATTATTGGCACTTTCCATAAGAACTAAATGTGTTAGAGAGAGACAGAGAAAAGAGTTTTAATAGGAAACTACTAAAAAGTAAAAAAAAAATATTTTTTTGAATAAATGTGATACGTCATAGGCTTTGGGACATCAGAGGCTCTTAAAATCTGGAATAAAAAATCCAGGGTCGTATTTAAAAAAATAAAATTGATGAATGGTGGCCCAAAGACGAAACGTCACATTTTAAATTTGATAGTGGCATCTTGTAGAGGAGAAAAAGTGGCAATGATGAAGTGTCATTCATTTTGAAATATCTCTTCATTTTGAGCGAATTTCGGTTTTTTCCGGATATCTCCGGTAGCACTCGGAATTTTGGAGATATCAAAGCGTCATTTTAATGAGCATAAAATTGCGCAACATTTTACTAATTTAAGTGACCTCTTATCTTTTACCGTTTTCCAGATTCCCATACTGGCCCTCCTTATACATTGTAATATATGAATAAAAAGTTACTTATAAGAAAAGAAATTTCGTTACTATTAGCTGGAAAACAAAAAAGTTATTGGAATTTAATTTATTTAAAAGTCTGTAAATTTTTGAACTTCAGGTAAAATCGCGAAATATAAGCATTTTTCTAGTAAAACTTAAAAATGCCCTTTATAGTAGAGGATTAAAGATACCTATATTGAAATAAAAGAAAACATCAGCAATTATTGAAAATATTGGTGTCAAAGGTTAAAAGCATGGTCTTAATATCTATCCAGGCAGTAGGCAGACTTAAAGATGTTCACAAACGACATTCAAGACGTCTTCAAGGCGTCTTAAAGACATCTTAAATACGTCGTATGTTACGAAACCCAACGTCTTTCAAACGTCTGCCTAAAGACGCCTTCAGGACTAATATTTTATTATTATTTCTCATTTTATAACTTTCAGTTTTTCTCTATTCCAAACGTTAGGGTCTTAAATTCTTGATTTCTTTAAACGAAAACATACGAAAAATTAATTTTGGAAGAAAACCATTTGAAGAAATAGGACTGAAAATTGAAAAACAAATCAAGAGCCTGAAATTTTAAAATACTGGAATAATAGGAATTTAAGAACTTAGAATGAACAAATTCAAGAGCCAAAAAACAATTAAGAATTTAGAATGAAGAAGTAAGGAAAAATTAGGAAGCCTGAAATAGAAGAAATTATAAAAATTCAAGAATTTCAATTGAAAGAGGATCATTTTCTTGTTAATATTTTCGTCTGGAGCATTCTAGAAGTTTTTCAGTAATTTCTAAATTGGGAAGTCCGCTCCTTTAAAGGACCCATGTTAAATTTCAAAATTTTCTGACAGATTTTTAAGTATTTTAGAGCCCCATTGAAGTTGAATTGGTTTAAAAGCATTCTAAAAGGTTTCCAGTTCCAAATTGAATCGTAATTGTTCTAAAATAGGTATCTCAGAAGTTTCTAAATTGTTCCAAAATGCTCTATTCTAATAATGGTTGCACCAACTTTTGGCCTTATTTGTATTTTGATTGTATGTACTATTACTAAAAAAAAATCCCATATGTTGCACACTTAAAAAATCACACTGTATATTGTCTTGTTGGATGATGAGGGCGGTCAGGATATTCCTGCCTCGTTCAGCTTCTGCTGCATTTTTACCACAAGTTTAAAAAAAAAAGATACCTACCTACATAATAAAACAAAGATGTTTAAACGAAAATAAAGAAAAATATCGTAGTGTATTACATCGTTGGATTCGCTTTAAAATACTGCATGTAGTAATGTTATGAAAGTGATATGTTTCTATTCCAGTTTTTGAGCTAGGGCAAAAATACTAAAATAATGAAGTTTACAGGCCTCTATTAAAAACTCGATTAAAAATAACCCGTCTACCTAGTGCAATTTGGTCCTCGTAAGTTAGCATTTTATTTGAAAAACAAAACGCGCTCATGGGACATCATACACTAATTAAGAAATTAACTCAATTTTTTTTAAAATGAAATTGTAACTTACGATAATTAGATCGCACTAGGCGGACGGGTTATTATCGGTAAGTTTGGGTAAGTTTGCATTTTCTTAATTACTATGCTAATGAGCGCTAATTTATAATCTAATTGTGCTTTTGGTACTTGAACGGTGATGTAAGTAAGTAAGTAAGGTATTGTACGAATAATTTTATTAAATAATGAGTCAACAAAGCCTAATGTACGCATTATATACATGATTTTATGTGCGATTGCGACTGGTTTTTATTAAATATTAAAAAATTGAATGAAAAAATTAAAATTCGAGTATACATGTTGCACCTTGGCAAGTTGTCAGAGTCTAAGTTGGCAATAAAGTAGCACTTTATCTTACTAGTAAAATAAAGTAGCACTTTTTACAGTAAAATAAAGTGCTACTTTATTGACGCAAAACTGTTCTATAAATAGCACTTTATTGGTTAATCGGGCATAAAAGATTTAAAAAGATTAATTTCACATTGACACTGTCACTTTAGCAAGTTAACTAATGCAGTGTAGTTTAAAGTCTTGTACTTCTTTCTGATACCTCTTTATCTCTTGTTCATAAATACGTATACTTCCTATAACGTTTGTATTTTCTTCCTTCATTTGTTCGAAGTCATATTTTAGCTTTGCGATGTTGTCATTTTTTTACTAAGTAGTTTTACGAAAAATTCCTCTATTATTACTTCCGATGTAATTAATTTTATTGTTAATTTTTCCATTTTTAATTGTTTTTTTTTGGAAAAGTCATTATACCTATGTTTTATCGTTATTGGTCCAATCATCTTGAAGTTTTAGTATCTGTGTTTGAAGCACTTCTATCTCTTTTTCCTTCATTTGAATTTACTCGTGGATGTTAACATTATCTGTGGTAGAGGTGATGCTATAGAGGTTTCCTGCAGTTTTCTAATTATACTCAATAACTCCTCTTTTTCAGATTCAGTAGAGAATTTTCTTTGACAGATTTATGTAGATTTTCCCTCAATCATTTTTCTTTACCTGCACAATTTCAGTTCCAGTTCTCTTCCCTATTGTGAATTTCAAAAGTAATTTGGTTAATTTTTCAGTTCAATTCCGAGCTAGTCTCCTCCGATTTCTCTTCCAGTTCCAGAACAGCCTAACTCAGTCTTCTGCTTTCCTCATAAATTTCATCAATGCTTTGGTTATTTGGATTTAAGTTTACGCTGCATTCCTGGCAAAAATGAGGAATTTTTCTGGATTGTAAAGCTATAAATGAACACTGTATATTGATGAAACACTATACTAAATATTCGAGTTAGTTTTAACGTTGAAATTTTTTTTTCACGATTTTTTTTTTACTCATTGATACTTGAGAAAATCATAATTAATTCCTGTAAAATCATCTTTGTAGGTTCCTGAAAAATACTTTCAGCCATCCCAGTAACTTGAAACTTTCAGGATTTGTTGAATGAAGTTTTTCCATGATACAAAACAAACTAAAAGTTAATATGAAATTCGACAACTAGAGTAACGAATTTTTTAACTTATTAATACCTAAGAAAATCATAAAGTTCCTGTAAAATCACCTTTGAAGGTTCCTGCCTGGAAAATACTTTCAGCCATCCCAGCAACTTGATACTCTCAGGATTTGTTAAATCCATTTTTCTCATGATACAAAATAAACTGGAAGTTGTTATGACACTTACAACTAAAATTTTCACTCATTGAAAATCATAAAATCCACCTTTAAAGGTACCATAAATTTTACACCACCAGACAACCAAAATTTGAATAATTTCTTAGGCATTTCCATAAGTTGGAAGTCAAGGCCGCCGAACCAAAGTTAGACCAGTTCGGATGCAAATTAGGGTACCTATAACCGCCCGAAAAAGGTGATACTTTGTGTGTGTTTTCGGGTACCTGAGAACCAAAAGTGTGTTTCAAAAATTCGATAAATTGTGTTTAAATTATCATTTATTAATAATATGGTACCACTCGTGATGTTGACTTTACGTATTATAGACGATTTGTTTAATTTGAAAATAAACCAAATACATGAATATAGTTACTCTCGTTACCATTTATGGTACCACATACAATCTTAAATCATTTCCCCATATTTAGTACCACCAAGCACCAATAAAAAACTTATAATTTTTTAACCTATTAATTAACCTCTTTACAGTTACTAGCGTGGGTTCCTAATAATGTGAGCGTGGGCCCTACAACCCAAACGAAAAAAATCTACTTGGTACCCAACAAATCTGTAGATAAACATTTTTATATTCTAACTGTTGACATATTATAGATATGATTGGTGGTTCTAGGAAGCTAGTTTAGAGGGTACCAAATAACTACTGATTAGAATGTTTGGGAAACGATAAAATTTCTGATTTGATTGGTAGAATTATTACTTAAGTCCAAGGTTGCGGCTATAGGTACCAAATTGGCTCAGACACGGTCGAGTTTCTCATGAGAAAGTCAATTTGGAAAAAAAATTAATCATTATCGGAACCAAATCAAATACAGGTAGAGCGGTGTAACGAAATGGGTTCTTGATCGGATTTAAATTGAATCTTTTCATCACAGGAAATTTGAGAAAGTTTAGGCATCAAATAATGGAGGAAATTTCTGGGAATTTAGTGGAAAAGTACAAAGAAGGAAACACTAAAATCTTATATTTGCCATCAGATAACTTTCCCCTATGTATTTAAGGGCGCTATATCAGGTTGCGATTATATGAATTAAAAAACCGAAAACCACCCAGCGTGAATCCTAATTGTAAGGGTTCAAGTACCTTCACTTGACATAATCACAAGGGTGCAACGAACACACGTGTGCGCCCTTATTGGGTCTCTTTTGTCTAGATTTTTTACCAAAGACTTAATTGTTTCAGGGATGCAGCTACGATATGACGCAATTGCAACGGAACTGGGCCATTCTGGCCATCCTAACGGTCCTGGTTCGATATATTTTTGCAGGTAAGAAATTTTTCTAATCTAAAAGTATACAATTTATAACATTTAACTTCTAGATTTCGAACACCTAATAAGTAAACCTGAATCGTTGACCTTGGCTCGAGGCTACGAGACTCTTTTAACGTGCGAAATGAATATAGAGCCTGATAAGTTCCAATGGAAATTTTATCCTTCGGATGAGCCTTACAATAGCCGAGCCAATTTGCTTTTAAGCAATGCCAGTTATAGTTTAATTCCAGAGGGAGATTTCAAAATTAATAGAAGAGTAGCTGAATTAGCTATCAAGGTAGCTTATAATGTCTATTTTCCAATGTTTGTTCAAAATACATAAATAATTTTTTTGCAGCTTAAAAACGAAGACGTTGCAGGCGACTACCAATGCCTGGCCTACTACGGTGCCTCAGTAATAGCTTCAGTGCCATGGAGAATAACTTTAGCTCGTATGGAAAATTTGCCAGCTCAGAAAAATATTTCTATATCGGTACAATCTGGCAATACTGTCAGTTGGCGGTGTCAAGTTCCTGAGTCCAATCCTCCTGCCTATGTAGATTATAGTAAGGGTAGCTCATATGTTTCGCCGCCGAATTTTATAGATAATAGAGCTAGTAAGAGTATGATTTTGACCAATGTTAGTGTTGGGGATTCTGGAACTTACAAGTAAGAACTTTTTGTGTATTGTATGTACATATTTGCAAATTATGAATTCACATAATGCCTTCTATTCCTATAGAACTTCTACATGAATCTTTTTTGATTTTTCAAAATTGCTGAGACTTAAAATACTAATAAATTCTGGATAGTTTGGGCTACGAAATACCCAATTTTCAATAAGATTATGAGCCAAAAACATTTATTAGATTTGGGAAGATAAATTTCTAGTAATTTTGAAGAAATTTTTTCGTTCTTTTCAGGTGTGCCACAACAAATATGTTTGAGAGAAAAGACTTAAATGCAGTTTTGAATTTGGAAGTTTTGAGAAATGGTCCATATATGGCTCCCAGTTTTGTTACCAAGCCTTTGAGCGAGTATACAGCGATTAAAGGTAAGTTTTGCATTTATTTCTGAATAATTATTCTGATGTTACCATTGAAAAGAGGAGCCTAAAATTAGTTGAAAACAACACTCAAATCATGATAATGAAACTATTTTCTCTTGAGCAAAAAAGCTCATCTTTGGTCCTGAAAATGTTTCCAAATCTTGACATGTTAGTGAATAATCACTTATAACTTCATTAACTCTAAATTAAATCAAATAAAACTATATACGGTTGGAAAGAGGATTAAATTCTCTACAAAATGGCACAAGATTGAATCAAGTCACTTTAATTGTTTAGGAGATATAAGGCTTCAAAGTTAAAACTTAATCAACTTTTTGGCATAAAACTTAAAGGCTGTGTAGTTGCAAAACTAAGCATTGTAACGAAATTATTGTATGGCACTTTTTTTTATAGCATTTAATGAGGGTTACAATCTGGTAAAAGAATCAACTCGATCCTCTCACGGTTACGGAAATATTGGGGTTTGAAAATTTTCAAAACCAAATCTTAAGGCTATCCCCTTCGGAAAAAAATTGCTGAAAATTTTTTTTTGGGAAATTTGTGCTTGTATGGTTAAAATTGATCAGTTGGGCTATAATTTAATGCGTTATTGATAAAAATGTAATTGAAAATACATTACTAAGGAAATTGCCAATTTAAGTCCCATGTTCTTAAGACTTAAGTCCTATGTTTACACGAAACTACAGACACTTTACGATCTTGTGGAACATCCACCACTCCCCACACAGTATTTTCATGAAATACATTTTCCTTCATTGAGTGTCTGCTCTGGACATTGCTTCTTTTACATTTTGAGGATCATCTCCCAAACTGGAATTGGTACACATGTAGGGTACAAAATCGTCGAAGTGTTTTGGTTTAGATACTCGCTGTGATCGCCTAATTGGTAAGACCTCTATCTTTGGTTCACTGTTTTCTCCATTTAACACGTCACTGTCATTGTTTTGAATGTCTTCATCGGATATACTGTCAGAATCGGTTGTAGAATTATTATTGATACTCGAATTTCCAGAGTTTTGTTCATTTTCTATGATAGGGATAAGAGTTGGCTCACATTGGACTTATGGTTGATCCCCCACTGGAATTAGTACCTCCTCTGTAAACTTTTCCTGTTCTTAAGCATTTTTTTTTTGTAATTTTCCAATACTATCACATCTCTGCTGACAGATAGGTACTTTATTTATAAACCCTATATTCCTTCACATTTTCACTGTAACCCATAAAAATCTTCTTGTCCTATTTCAATCGTTTCTCTTCCGTGTGCTGCCAAAGATTCTCAAATCACTGTTGGTTTTTTGTTGTACCAAATTTTAAAAAGTGTTTTATTATCAGGTAAACCAGACGTAGATGATCTGTTCCGTAAATAAATGGCAGTGTTGACAGCCTTTGCTCAGAACTCTTTTTTTAAGTTTGCCTCGAATAATAAGCACTTTGCCTGCTCCACTATGGTACGGTTTAGCCTTTCAGCAACTATATTCTGTTCTAGAGTGTATGAGTTTGTTCGCTGGTGAATCATACCATTTTTTTGAAGAAAAGCATTTATCTGATTTCAAAATCTTTATATTTTTCCTTTGTTGGTTCTCTACAATATTCTTAAATTCTTTGATACGATCTTATACTTGGTTTTTTGACTCCAAAAAATAAACAAATCCATACTTTGAATGGTAATCCTGTAAATTCAAAAAATATCTCGAGTCTCCTATGGATCTAATTTCCATTGGGCCACATAGGTCACAATGTATTAAATCTAAAACATTTGTTGTTTGCTCAGCATCTTTTGGAAAAGGCAATATATGCTCAAAATCAAAATAGTTTATTGGTATTATAAATACAATTGTACCTTACACAAGTCATATAAATAAATCTTACATTTATCATAAAAATTTCAAAAATTACGCTCAGTACTATACATTATTATTTAAAAGAAAAACAGACCGACAGATGCTTAAATTACAGTGACTAATACTAAAGTTAAAATAAAGACAAAAAAGTCAATTATATAAATTAAAATAAAATAAAAACAATTATTACAGGTAAAACTGCCCTCGCCTCTCAAAGGCCTCGTGTATGGCTTTTTTTAAAATTTTCCTGGCCCTAACTTTAGATTTTTCTATACCCCGAAGTGACCTACATGCAATTTATTCAACATTTGTACCCTAAGCTTTCTAGGAACAACCAACAACCAACTTATAATTTTGAAAAAGCATACTTTGACTGATATATAAATTGTCTCTAATATTAAAGTATTTCCTCAATTCAAGCTCATATAACCCTGATGTTTGGACAAAATTTGTTTACTTGTGTCAAAATAGGATCCTTCTTTGTAGCAGACCTCAACTCATGTAACTTTTGCTCAGATAAGGCAAGTCAATTTCAACAGTATGCACAACTTCTTTCATTTCTTCATCATCTTTTATTTGGGTTTTGAGATAGGATCTAGACAAAAGATCAGCAATATAGATAAGTTTTCCAGGTAAGTATTGTATTTCAAAATTGTATTTGAGCATTTTTAATTTTAATCTCTGTAGTCTAGCAGACACTTTGTTGATTGAAATTAATGGTTTGTGGTCAGACTTAACCACAATTTTTTGTCCATATACAAATTGATGGAATCTTAGTAGACTAAATGAAATGGCTAAATATTCCTTCTCAATGTGTGCCCACTTGCTCTCTGTATCTGTTAGACTACGTGAGCAGAATGCCACTGGTTTTCCTTCTTGCATAAGGCAACAACCAATGCCATTCTGACTAGCATCTGTTTGGATTTCAATGAGTAATTTAGGATCAATAATTTTAAGAACCGGAATATCAGAGATTAGACTTTTATTTCATTAAATTTTTTGGAGTGATCTTTTGTTCATATCCATTTAACATTGTTTTTCATGAGAACGCGCAATGGAAATAGTAGCTCTGAAAGTTTTGGTAAATACTTGGATAAATAGTTAAACATACCTAGTACACTTTTAATTTTTAGGTTCATCCAACATTAAAACTACTTTTAAATATTCAGTGTCTGGTCTTATACCTTCTGCTGACAAAACCTGGCCAATGTAAATGACTTCCTTTACTTTATATTGAACTTTTGATTTTTCTATCATCATGTTCCTCTTCTGTACTTCCTGCTATGATAAAATCGTTAAAATAAATACCTATGAGTAGATCTCCAAATATGTTTTGATTCATTCTCTGAAAAATCTCCGGACTCACATTCAAACCAAAAGGCAACCTATTAAAACAATATTTTCCGAAGAGTGGTATAAAGGTAGGTACACAACTTTCTGCTTTGACTGTCAAGAGGAACATGATAAAACCCTTCTTTCAAATCCAAAGCAGTAAATTTTTTAACTTTTGTGCCAGCTCATCAACAGTTGGTATTGGAAACTGATCCGAACAAACCTATTAATTCAAGTGCACGCAGGATTCAAACAAATGCGAAGGGCACCCGATGGTTTTTCAACAATCACAATGTTTATTTAATCACTCCGTAGGTACTTCAATTTTAGATATTATTTTCCTCTTTTATAAATCCCTTAACGTTTTTTTAAATTTAGATTTCACAGCATTGGGGACCCTTCGACAACCACTGCTGACATGCTGAGCATTTTTATTTAATACAATTTTGTACTTATAAGCAACCTTACCTGTACCTTCAAATTGTTATGTGCATACTTTTGAAATAATTCTTGCCTTTCCTTGCATATGATTCACTTCTGATAGTATCAACTTTTAATAAGTTAGAACATGTGTTTAAACCTAAAATTGGCACACTGTTGGGACATTTTATAACTGTAAACTTAACCTTATAGCTACATTGTTTTATGACACAATCTAATATAAAAGGTATATCCCAAAGCTTTAACTTTATTGTTGCCATACGTGTTAAGTAACAAATTTTAAAGGCAAACAATTGGCATCTGAGTCAATTTTAAATGTAATAAAATCATTATTTATCAGTACATCAACTGTCCAGACACTTCTTTTCTAACCAGTATTTTATTTATTGCCACAGAATCAATGTATGGTTATGAGTTGTCGCTGGCTAAATCTAACATATTTCCCTCCAATTCATGAATCTGATTCCTCTTATTTCCTTTCGATGCAGCATTGCCATTCTCCCTTGGGTATCTACATCCGACTGCATAATGGTTCAATGTTCCACATCTGGAATAAGTTTTGCCAAACGCAGGACAGCTTCTTGGTCCATTTTTCGAGCCACATTTAAAGCAATCATATAAAGTAGATAATAACTTACTACGAGAACCACCACTACCTTTGTTTCGAACTCTAAATGAGTCCACTTGATCGGTGTTATTTCTGAGACTTTTTATCTGCAGTTTATTGGCCTCTGCAGCTCTGCAATCGGTTTCTGCTTGTTCCAATGTGAAATTTGTGATTCTCAAAAGCCTTTCTTGTAATGAACTGTCGCTGAGTTCACTCACAATTCAGTCATGTAAATCAGCAAAATTGCAGTTTTTTGCCAACATTTTTATTTCAGTTGAAAAATGGTCAAAATCCTCGTCCTCCTGTTGAACTCTTATAAAGAACTTGTACCTGTCATAGGTCTTATTTTCCATGAGTTAACAATACTGTTGAAATGCCTTTATAACGGTATCAAAATCTTATCTTTCTGTTTCACTCAGCTTCATAATTTCAAACACATCTTGGGCCTCCTTCAGTGATGCCAGGTCTGGTAAAATTTCACCAGATCCAGTGATTTTATGAATAATCTGGTGATTGGTGAGAAACTTTTTGAAAAATGGCAATTTTTGGTGATTCTGAAATTTCATCGATTTTGAATATTTTTACCAATTTTCGAGAAACAGAATACGGCATAAACCTACAAACATAATATACTAATCATCATATTGAAAAATAATAATTTGTTTTGTTGAAAAATATACTTTTTAATAATAATCCTGATTTGGGTAGGTACCTTCTTAAACTTTAAATTTATTCAAAACCATACGATCATACAAATTACAATC